CACACTACACACCCATCCCCCACTCAAAATAGAATTCATTCCCTTATTAGTAGCCCTTAGTGTCACAACCAGGGTCAGGTTAGAAGCAGGAAGCCTAAGAACCTCATTATCATATTTCTAGTCACTCTCCCAAAGCTTCCAATTATCACTTAAAAAAAAAAAAAAAAACTAGCAAACTCTATCACTCACCTCCAAAACCAACTAGACTCTTTAGCAGCAACCATCCTACAAAACCCGCAGAGGCCTAGACCTCCTCACTGCTGAAAAAGGAAGTCTGTGCTTTTTAAATAAACGATTTAAAAGAATTGTTTTTAAATAAACAATGCTGTTTCTACCTCGGTGAATCTAGGTTAGTACAAAATGCTATCAAAAGGCTCAAAGACAAACCCAGAAAATAAGAGATAACAATTCTTCCTGCCCCGCTGCCTGCTTGGTCTCTCAGCTCCTAGGCCCTCTGGCTACCTCCCCTCCTTGGTCCTGCCATAACTCTCCTCCTCCTCTTAGTCTTTGGCCTTTGCCTCTTACGCCTTCTCATCCAGTTTCTACAGAAGCAAATATGGGCTGTTACCCACTGCATGATATAAGATGTGATGATGTTCCAAGACTATCAACTTACAAGCCAGTCTCACCTCACAAACATCCCCATTCAGTACAAAGCAGCTAAAAACAATGTCCCCTTTCTCTTTCCTTTTATATATGTAACAAAAGACTGTAATGTTAGGGTCACATCAAGGCAAGCCCATAGACCCCCTCCCGTTCTCCTTGCTAAGCCGCTGTCACCAAAAACAGCCTCAAAACTTGTAAACAGGGCGCCTAGGTTCCAGGACATGGTCACACCCAGCTCTGGAACCCAGGATGTTGATCTGATTAAGCAGAATGTCAGCCCCTGAGAACCAAGATGCAGTTTTTCTTAGAATAGCACCCAGCTACTTGCAAACCCCCTATATAACCCTTATAGTCTGTAAGCCAGGCTGCTGCCTTTCCTGCCTGTGGTGAGGCTGCCTGGCAGGTTGAAATAAATTTGCTAAACCTGATTCTAGGTCTGTCTCTCCCTCCTTTCGGTCAACCTTACAAGCTTCGAGATGCATATTCCTAGGGCCCATATCATCTTCTTCATCACTGCCATAAGCGTCTGCACATATTGATGAACGTCTGGAGAATCGATTTATGACAAGGGCGTTTACTCCTCATGCATCCGTGGCTTCTTCGTGATTGTCCTGGTCGCAGGGGTCTATCCCACCTGCTGGGCATGCTGCCCCCTGGGAAGTGCCTGAATTTCCCCACTCACCCAACTAGCCTCAGCACCTCCTGTGTGCCGCAGTAGAGATCCCAGCCTGCTGCCTCAGCGCCTGCTCCGCAGCCATGATTTACAGGCAGGGATAGCCACATTCCTGCACCCCGACTTCCATCTCCGTTCCCCTCGAAAAAGCTTCTTAGTGGCTCTGCCGCCAGCGTCCCAGCTCCTCCCGCTCCTGAGTTTAGATTTCCCGCTCCCTCTCCAGGCCTGCCCAGCCCAACCTACCGGTGACTTCGCTTCCCAATACTCGGGACTGGGCAAACCGGGAGAATAGAGGCAGGCAAGGACTGCCGCGGGCAGCGGGACCAGGGAGACAGGGTCCTGCTCGCGGCGTCAAGGGGGAGCGCGGTGGCTGGGAAAGGTTGGCGCACTCCCTCGGCCTCGCCTTCCCAATCACTCTTTTTTGCACGCCGGCAGGTGTCCCCAGCGCAGCCAATCCGCTTCCGCAGTAGGCGAGTTGCTGTCTAAAGAGAGAAGATAAACTCCAGTATCTTCAAGTCCATTGGCCAGACGAGCCATTCGGCAGGTGAGTTCTATTCTCCTACCGAAGTGCTGGATCCCACGGAACTGGAGGGGAAAGTCCTTAAAAGTCACTAGTGCAGGCGTCTGAGACTTGGTGCGGAACGGACCTTCTTCATAGATGAGTTACTCTTTTCTTTTCTTTCTTCCTTTTCTTTTCTTTCCTTTCTTTCTCTCTTTCCTTTTTCTTTCTTTCCTTCTTTCTTCTTTTTTCTCTCTTTTTCGTTCTTTTTTCTTTCTTCTCTCTCTTTCATCTTTCTTTCCATCTCTCTCTCTCTTTTCTCCCTTCCTCCCTCCCTCCTTTCTTCCTTCTTTCTCTTTTGCCTATTTTACATTTCAGTGTGTATGCAAATAGTGGTTTAAGGACAATAGGCTTAACACTTTCTAAAACATGGGTGTTAAGAATTGAAGACAGTGATAAAATTTGTTTCCAAAGGAATGCTTATACACTTGGTGGGAGTGTAAATTAGTTCAACCATTGTGGAAAACAATGTGGCAATTCCTCAAAGATGTAAAAACAGAACTACCATTCAACCCAGCAATCCTGTGACTGGGTATATTCTGAAAGGACTATAAATCATTCTGTCGTAAAGACACATGTACACATATGTTCCTTGCAGCACTGTTCACAATAGCAAAGAATCAACCTAAATGCCTATCAGTGGTAGATTGGATAAAGAAAACTGAGTATGGACTAGGCACGGTGGCTCTCGTCTGTAATTCCAGCACTTTGGGAGGCTGATGTAGGTGGATCACCTGAGGTCAGGAGTTTGAGATCAGCCTGACCAACATGGAGAAACCCTATCTCTACTAAAAATACAAAATTACTCCTGGCATGGTGGTACATGCCTGTAATCCCAACTATTCGGAAGGCTGAGGCAGGAGAATCACTTGAACACGGGAGGCGGAGGTTGAGGTGAGCCAAGATCATGCCATTGCACTCCAGCCTGGGCAAGGAGCAAAACCTTGTCAGAAAACAAAACAAAACAAAACAAAACAAAACAAAACAAAACAAAACAAAACAAAACAAAACAAAACAAAACAATGAAAACAGCAACAACAACAACAACAACAAACCAAAAAACAAAGAAAGAAAACAAAACTGATTAGACCATTGAATACTGCACAATCATAAAAAATAATGAGATCATGTCCTATCCAGGGACACGGATGGAGCTAGAGGCCATTATTCATGTTATCACTTACAAGTGGGAACTAGATGATGATAACACATGGAACAACAGACACTGGGGGCTTTTGGAGAGTGGAGGGTGGGAGGAAGGAGAGGATCAGGAAAAATAACTAATGAGTACCAGGCTTAACACCTTGGTGGTGAAATAATCTGTACATCAAATCCCCAGGACACTAGTTTACTATAAAACAAACCTGCACAGGCACCACTAAACTTAAATAAAGTTTAAAAAGATTTTTAAATCTACAAAGTTGAAATTTACTAGAAAGGTTATTCAAATGATTTTGATACATTGAAATATTAGTGCACAAGGAGATAATAAAAAATTATTAGTATAGAAGATATAAAATATGTTCCTCTGCCTAATATCTGTGCAACTAAACCTACTATGTACCAAGATATCTATCAACATTCTTTCTGAAATTTTTATAAAATTTTGTATAATTTTAATCATATTTCTTTTAAAAACATTTATGGCTTGATAAGTTATATGTTGGCTTATTGGGGAAACGGCATAAAATAACAATTCTTAATCTTTATATATATTTGCATTGAAACAGATTTTGGCTTTAGGTAATAGGAACGTAACCCTTTTTTGGATGAAAAATTACTGTCACATATTTTTCTTCATTATCCCACATCTTTGTTGTTTTCTTAACTTGTATTACTAATTAAAGTTCCCTACCTTTTCAAAGAAAAGCTAATGTTGACATTTATTTCTCTGTAGCAAACTTTGGCTATTGTTTTTACTCCTAATTTCAGGCAAAAATGAAGTGTCAATTTCATTTACAAAATACAGCTTAGTACAATCTAAGCCAAATAAAGTTTACATTATAAAGACTACAAACAAGTTTTAAAAAGCTATTTTGACATTAAACTTTTTTATTGAATTTAACTTTTGTCTTCTAAGGACCAGAATTCTTACAATTACTATGAAGGCCCTATTCTATAATCATAGCCTGGGCTCTGTGTCAATGCTTCATTAAACAGGTTCACTCACTCTTTCTGTTCTTTCTACCTTTCTTCCTTCCTTCCTTCCCTCCCTCCCTCCCTCCCTCCCTCCTTATCTCCCTCTTTCTTTCTTTTTCTTTCTTTTCTTTCTTTCTTCTTTTTCCTTTCTTTCTTTCTTTTCTTTCCCCTTCCTTCCTCTTTCTTTCTTTCTTCTTTCTCCTTTCTTTCTTTCCTCTCCCTTCCTATCATTCTTCCTTCCTCCCTCCCTTCCTCCCTCCTTTCCTCCCTTCCTCCCGCCTTTCTTTCTTTCTTTCTTTCTTTCTTTCTTTCTTTCTTTCTTTCTTTCTTTCTTTCTTTCTTTCTATCCTTCTTTTTTTTTTTGAGATGGAGTTTCGCTCTTGTTGCCCAGGCTGGAGTGCAATGGCGCGATCTCGGCTCACCACAACCTCCGCCTCCTGGGTTCAGGCAATTCTCCTGCCTCAGCCTCCTGAGTAGCTGGGATTACAGGCACGTGCCACCAGGCCCAGCTAATTTTTTTTTGTATTTTTAGTAGAGACGGGGTTTCACCATGTTGACCAGGATGGTCTCGATCTCTTGACCTCGTGATCCACCCACCTCGGCCTCCCAAAGTGCTGGGATTACAGGCTTGAGCCACCGCGCCCGGCTCGCTCTTTCTTTCTTTCTTTCTTTCTTTCTTTCTTTCTTTCTTTCTTTCTTTCTTTCTTTTCTTTCTTTCTTTCTTTCTTTCTTTCTTCCTTTCTTTCTTTCACAGAGTCTCGCTCTGTCACCCAGGCTGGGGTGAAGGGGCATAATCTTGGCTCACTGAAACCTCCATCCCCTACATTCAAGCGATTCTCATGCCTGAGCTTCCTGAGTATCTGGGACTACAGGCATGCACCACCATGCCCAGCTAGGCTTACTTTAAATTTTTTTTATTTTTATTTTTAGTAGCTACAGAGTTTGTCCTTATTGTCCAGGCTGTTCTGAAACTCCTGAGCTCTGGCATTCTGTTCGCCTCGACCTCTCAAAGTGCTAGGATTGCAAGCATGAACCACAGTGCTCGGCCAATTTCTTAATTCTTAGACTAAATCTACAGGGGACACACTTGTTCCAACATTAGCTGCAAAGGGATTTTTCCTCCACACTTAAGTCACTGTCAGTAAGTAGTTTTTTTTTTTTCTTTCGTGTATTTCCGCTTGCTTGTTTGTTAGTGGTTATTTGGGAAAACCCCTTCTTGAAATTATTTTACATGCAAGGTCAAATATAAAGGTAACAGCATAGATTAATTTTCTTCCACACCTATATACACGTTTTTATTCCTGCCTGTGGCTGTGAATAGTTGTACAGTTAAAAGTAGAATGGACTTAATGGAGTATCATTTGTATTTATAATTCCTGTATTTGTAATTCTGCTGCAGAAATGAATTCTGTTATACTCAAAGGTTACACTTCTTATTTGACTTCTTTAAAAGTGTGTAAAAATAATGCTGTTGTGGCTTTTCATAGATTTATAGTATATAAACATTAAATTTAATCAATAATTCATATCATTTATGATTAATTTTATTATTAAAACAATAATACACATAGACATAATTATTTTGTAACAGTTGGTGTGCTTGGAGTGTTTGCTATCACCCTTGAATATGACACTCCAGCTAGAAAATATTAATTTGATAATGTATCTTTAAGAAACTATATAAAATACATAAAAGTTTATAACCTTGTGTACATTTTAAAAACAAGGCTTTGTTGTAGAAAAAAGATTATGATATACATGAAGATATTTTGTTTTCTGTTATCATTTGAGTTTATTTTAAAAGCCATTACTGCTATCTCTCTCTCTCTTCCTCTTTTTCTCTCTATGTGTGTGTATAATATATGTATACCTATACATATATAACCAAAAATTCCAGGTTCATCACATTCTACACAAATTTCCTTTTTTTGTTGTTGCTATAACTTATTCTTAATCATTGAAAGCCACTGAAAATCAATACCTGTTTGCTAAATCAAGATGTGAGATCAAGTTAAAAGTGCCATTGTTATTATATATAAAACTTTCTAATGATTACTTTTGTGGTAACTTTTTTTAATTGCATTTTAGGTTTTGGGGTACATGTGAAGAACATGTGAGATTGTTTCATAGGTTCACACATGGCAGTGTGGTTTGCTGCCTTCCTTCCCATCACCTATATCTGGCATTTCTCCCTATGTTATCCCTCCCCAACTCCCCAGCCCCCACTGTCCCTCCCCTATGTAACCCCCTACAGACCCTGGTGTGTGATGCTCCCTCCCTGTGTCCATGTATTCTCATTGTTCAACAACCACCTATGAGTGAGAACATGTGTTTGATTTTCCATTCTTGTGTCAGTTTGCTGAGAATGATGGTTTCCAGGTTCATCCATGTCCTTACAAAGGACATGAACTCATTGTTTTTTATGGCTGCATAGTATTCCATGGTGTCTATGTGCCACATTTTCCCTGTGCAGTCTATCATCGATGGGCATTTGTGTTGGTTCCAAGTCTTTGCTATTGTAAACAGTGCCGCAATGAACATTCATGTGCATGTGTCTTTATAATAGAATGATTTATAATCCTTTGATATATACCCAGTAATGGGATTGCTGGGTCAAATGGAATTTCTATTTCTAGGTCCTTAAGGAATTGCCACACTGTCTTCCACAATAGTTGAACTAATTTACACTCCCACCAACACTGTAAAAGTGTTCCTATTTCTCCACATCCTCTCCGGTATCTGTTGTCTCCAGATTTTTCAATGAACACCATTCTAGCTGGCGTGAGATGGTATCTCAATGTAGTTTTGATTTGCATTTCTCTAATGACCAGTGATGATGAGCATTTTTTCATATGTTTGTTGGCCTCATATATGTCTTCTTTTGTAAAGTGTCTGTTCATATCCTTTGTCCACTTTTGAATGGGCTTGTTTGTTTTTTCTTGTAAATCTGTTTTAGTTCTTGTAAATTCTGGATATTAGCCCTAAATCAGAGGGGTAGAATGCAAAAATTTTTTCCCATTCTGTTGGTTGCTAATTCACTCTAATGACTGTTTCTTTTGCTGTGCAGAAGCTGTGGAGTTTCATTAGGTCCCATTTGTCTATTTTGGTTTTTGTTGTCAATCCTTTTGGTGTTTTAGTCATGAAGTCCTTGCCTATGCCTATGTCCCGAATGGTTTTGCCTAGATTTTCTTCTAGGGTTTTTATGGTGTTAGGTTTTTTGTTTTAGTATTTAATCCATCAGGAGTTAATTTCAGTGTAAGGTGTCAGGAAGTGGTCCAGTTTCTCCTTTCTGCCCATAGCCAGTTTTCCCAACACCATTTATTAAACAGGGAATCCCTTCTCCATTGCTTGTTTTCATGAGGTTTGTCAAAGATCAGATGATTGTAGATGTGTTGCGTTGCCTCTGAGGCCTCTGTTCTGTTCCATTGGTCTATATCTCTGTTTTTGTATCAATATCATGCTGTTTTGATTATTGTAGCCTTGTAGTATAGTTTGAAGTCAGGTAGTGTGATGCCTTCAGCTTTGTTCTTTTTGCTTAGAATTGACTTGGCTATGCAGGCTCTCCTTGGGTTCCATATGAAGTTTAAGGTGTTTTTTTCCAGTTCAGTGAAGGTCATTGGTAGCCTGATGGGGATAGTGTTGAATCTTTAAATCGCTTTGGGCACTATGGCCATTTTCACAATACTGATGCTTCCTAACTATGAGCATGGGATATTTCTCCATCTGTTTGCGTCCTCTCTTATTTCGTTGAGCAGTGGTTTGTAGTTCTCCTAGAAGAGGTCCTTTACATCCCTTGTTAGTTGTATTCCTAGGTATTTTATTCTCTTTGTAGCAATTGTGAATGGCAGTTCATTCTTGATTTAGCTCTCTTTAAGTCTGCTATTGGTGTATAGAAATGCTTGTGATTTTTGTGCATTGATTTTGTATCCTGAGACTTTGCTGAAGTTGCTTATCAGTTTAAGATATTGGGCTGAGATGATGGGGTCTTCTAAATATGCAATCACATCATCTGCAAATAGAGACAATTTGACTTCCTCCTTTCCTAATCAAATATTCTTTATTTCTTTTTCTTGCCTGATTGCTGTGGCTAGAACTTCCAATACTATATTGAATAGGAGTGATCAGAGAGATCATCCTTATCCCTTGCCAGATTTCAAAAGAATGCTTCCAGTTTTTGCCCATTCAGTAGGATATTGGCTGTGGGTTTGTTATAAATAAGCTTTCATTATTTTGAGATACGTTCCATCAATACCTAGTTTGTTGAGTGTTTTTAGCATAAAGGGCTGTTGAATTTTGTCAAAGGCCTTCTCTACATCTATTGAGATAATCATGTGGTTTTTGTCTTTGGTTCTGTTTATGTGGTGCATTATCTTTATAGACTTGAGTATGTTGAACCAGCCTTGCATCCCCAGATGAAGCCTACTTGATCATGGTGGATAAGTTTTTTGATGTGCTGTTGCAATCAATCAGTTTGCCAGTATTTTATTGAAGATTTTTGCATCTATGTTCATCACTGATATCGGCCTGAAGTTTTCTTTTCTTGTTGAATCTCTGCTGGATTTTGGTATCAGGATGACGTTGGTCTCATAAAATGATTTTGGAAGGATTAATTAATCTTGCTAGTGGTCTGTCTGTTTTGTCTTTGTTCTCATTGATTTCGAAGAACATCTTTATTTCTGCCTTCATTTCATTGTTTTTCCAGTCAACATTCAAGAGCCTATTGTTCAGCTTCCATGAAGCTGTGTGGTTCTGAGTTAGTTTCTGAATTCTGAATTCTAACTTGATTGCACTGTGGTCTGAGAGACTGTTGTGATTTCCATTCGTTTGCATTTGCTGAGGAGTGATTTACTTCCAATTATGTGGTCAGGGATTCCCTCTTTTTAGATGGTTTGGAATAGTTTCAGAAAGAATGGTACCAGATCCTCTTTGTATGTCTGGTAGAATTCAGCTGTGAACCCATCTGGACCTGGGCTTTTTTTGATTGGAAAGCTATTAATTGCTGCCCCAACTTCAGACCTTGTTATTGGTCTATTCAGGGTTGCAACTTCTTCCTGGCTTAGGCTTGGGAGCATGCAAGTGTCCAGGAATTTATCCATTTCTTCCAGGTTTACTACTTTATGTGTAGAGAGTTGTTTGTAATAATCTCTGATAATGGTTTGTATTTCTGTGGAATCTGTGGTGATAGCCCCTTTATCATTTTTTTATTGCATCTATTTGATTATTCTCCTTTTTAAAATTAATCTGGCTAGTGGTCTATTTTGTTGATCTTTTTGAAAAACCAGCTCTTGGATTTCTTGATTTTTTGAAGGTTTTTTTGTGTCTCTATCTCCTTCAGTTCTGCTCTGATCTTAGTTATTTCTTGTCTTCTGCTAGGCTTTGAGTTTTTTGACCTTGCTCCTCTATCTCTTTCAGTTGTGATGATAGGGTGTTGATTTTAGATCTTTCCTTGCTTCTCATTTGGGCATTTATTGCTATATATTTTCCTCTAGACACTGCTTTAAATGTGTCCCAGAGATTCTAATATGTTGTGTCTTTGTTCTCATTGATTTCGAAGAATATCTTTATTTCTGCCTTCATTTCATTGTTTATCAAGTCAACATTCAAGAGCCTGTTGTTCAGCTTCCATGAAGCTGTGTGGTTCTGAGTTAGTTTCTGAATTCTGAATTCTAACTTGATTGCACTGTGGTCTGAGAGACTGTTTGTTGTGATTTCCATTATTTTGCATTTGCTGAGGAGTGACTTACTTCCAATTATGTGGTCAGTTTTAGAGTAGGTGTGATGTGGTGCTGAGAAGAATGTATATTCTGTGGATTTAGGGTGGAGAGTTCTGTAAATGTCTATTAGGTTTGCGTGGTCCAGGTCTGAGTTCAAGTCCTGGATGTCCTTGTTAATTTTCTGTCTCGTTGATATGTCTAATATTGACAGTGGGGTGTTAAAGTCTCCCACTATTATTGTGTGGGAGTCTAAGTCTCTTTGTAAGTCATTAAGAACTTGCCTTATGTATCTGGGTGCTCCTGTATTGGGTGTGTATATATTTAGGATCATTAGCTCTTCTTGTTGCAGTGATCCTTTTACCATTATGTAATGTCCTTCTTTGTCTCTTTTGATAGTTATTGGTTTAAAGTCTATTTTATCAGAGACTAGAATTGCAACTCCTGCTTTTTTTTTTGCACTCCATTTGTTTGGTAAATCTTCCTCCATCCCTTTATTTTGAGCCTTTGTGTATCCTTGCATGTGAGATGGGTTTCCTGGATACAGCACACCAATAGGTTTTGGCCTTTTATCCAATTTGCCAGTCTGTGTCTTTTGATTGGGGCATTTAGCCCATTTACATTTAGGGTTAAAATCGTTATGTGTAAATTTGATCCTGCCATTTTGATGCTAGCTGGCTGTTTTGCCTGTTAGTTGATGCAGTTTCTTTATTGTGTCAATGCTCTTTGCCATTTGGTATGTTTTTGGAGTGGCTGGTAGAGGTTGTTCTTTCTATGTTTAGTGCTTCTTTCAGGAGCTCTTGTAAAGCAGGCCTGGTGGTGATGAAATCTCTGAGTAATTGCTTGTTTGTAAAGGATTTTATTTTTCCTTCACTTATGAAGCTTAGTTTGGCTGGATGTAGTAACTTTTAAAAGAAGTAGTGATGGCGTGGGATCCCTTGGCAAAGTCCAACTTGGCTGCTTCGCTGCTTTCATTGGCCTGGCTAACACTTTATGTCTGCCCAAGGAAGGACCAGGAGAGTGTAGAAGGGAAATGACATCTGCTGCTGTACTGCTTTGAGTTCCTCCCTGATTTTGGCATTTACATGTGTCTGTTTCATTTAATACTCTTAATAACCTTGTGGGGAAGGGGAGATTATCTTAGCCATTTCACAAAAAGCTTTAGTAAATAATTGTGCAGAAACATCCTCATCAGAATTTGTAATCCCATTTGAAACTAGAAGCCAAACTCATTCTATTGAATGATGGCTGCCTCTTGTATCTAAATGCAAAAAGGCATAGTGCCTTACTTCTTCCTGCTTTACTCTTTTTATATCTATCCAATCATCTATTCAAGGTATAAATTTGTGGTGACAATTTACAAGATCCGGTCCCAGATTCTATGAAGGGTAAAATGTTAAGAGTTCTGCCCTGAAATGGGGAGGATGGAAAAGGTACACAAATAATACCATTTCCAAAATAGTTTCATTTATTTAAAAGACATGTTAATTCCTACTTTGTACCAGGTATTATGCTGGATATTGGGGAACAGAAGTGAATGAATATGATTCTCACATTTGTGGATCCACAGCAGTTTAATGCAATGTTGTATCTAAGCCTAGTGCTTTTCAAGGTCACATCTCATAGCCTATTCAATATATTAAAATGCACACACATTCTACATTAAATATACATGTTTGCTTTGTAATCTAGTTTGAAATACTTGGAGAATTGGAAGAACTAGTCACCAAGTGTAGAAAATTGTTCTCAGATCTTCCCCCTTCCTTGTATACACACCTGTTGCCAGGTGCATTTGCAGTTTCTCCCTATCCCATCAATGTTGGGCTTTGGGTGGTAAAATGTAGACAGAACACTGTGCTGAGCGCGACCCTGAAAGCCATTACATCTTTCTGTTTGCCTCTGTACTGGTTCTGTCATTGCATGTAAAGAACATGCCCCTGCTAATACTGTCTCATAGAGGGCATGAGGCTAAATGAGGTAGCCTATGGGATGGTCGTGGAGTTGCACGTGGCATAAACGCTCCAGAAATGATAGGGTGACTTTGCCTTTGTTACTTCTCTTACAACTACCATGTAACTCTGTTTTGATATATACTGTCTAGATGGTTGTACATGATTTTTAAGGTTTGAATAAATATTACCAAATTACTCGACCACTAGCAGGAAAAGGTGATGTTCATTTCCACTTCAGGTCAAAAGTGTTGTGAGATTGGGATTCTTAAGAATCAGATCATAGACTCCAGCTCAGTCCAAGACCCAGAAGGCAAAGAACCTCTAGGAGGGTAACACCCTCATAAGGAGCCTCTGTTTAGATATTAAGGGGATGTCCGCTTTACCAAACCTCCAGAGGCTGCTAGCCTCCCTACTTCCAGAAAAGGAAATAACCACGTGCCTGTCCTAGCTGTAGCCTGAGGTTCAAGCACCCGGGCCACAGGGACTAGTTGGGGCACACAATCTGCTGTGGACTCCGTCTTCTTCCTACCGTGGGATGCAGAAACTCACCCCTCTTTCCTCCAAGCCTCACCGTCCTAATGACTACCCAAGACCTTCTTGACTCTGCAAGAGCCCGAATGACTTTTCAAGATCCTCTGTTTTATTAAGTTAGCTGCCAAGTATTTCTGGCCCTGTAAAGAAAACAGCAGTTCAGGTCCTTAAATATATTTATTTACTCTGCGTGTGTGTGTGTGTGTGTGTGTGTGTGTGTGTGTGTGTGAAACATTTTTTTTCTTGTAAACCAATATATTATATAGTAAGGAGTTTAATTCCTTAACTTTCATTTTTCTCCCTAAACTTTTTATAGTCAGCAAGAGCAAAACCACACTGCAACGCCCAAACCAATTGCAGGCATTTTCTACTCCCTGAAGCCTGGGAATTAATTCATATACTCAGCCCCGTTTCCTTTGGCAGGCCATTGCAGAAGCAGTTGAACCAAATGATTGGATTGACCAGAATAAAAAGAAAACAAAACAACAACAACAAAAACTACAGAAACCAATGAGATATGTCCAAAAATGATGACTCCTCATATCATCACACCAGCAAGGAATGAACCAGCCTCTGATTTTCCCTTCTTGGCTGACTTTACAAGGTTGGATGCAGCTCATGAGAATCATGCAGCAAAGACAGAAAGAAAGTGCTGGAGAAGCTGCACCTGCAGGGCCTTACCTTTAGCTGGTTTGTATGGTCCCACTCCATGTAGCTGTTGGAAAACCAGTATCTCTAATGTCCTCTATGGGATAGTTGTTACCTTCCATTAATTTACGTCTATGACCTGTAAACCTAAAGTATCCTTTTATAAATTTTATTCAGTCTTTATGGAGAAAATTTTTAGTGCATGCCAGGTATAGTGTCAAGCATTGGGATTCCTAAGATGAATGTAACATTGTCCTCATCATTCATTAAGTCACAATCTAGTAGAGGAATAGAAGTTTAAAAAAGAATTATAACCATAATACAGAAGCAAACAGGCTTCAGTGGTAGCACAGAGAGGGTTTCAGGGCTACTGTCACAGAGGTGATAACATTTAAGATATAGATTCCAAATTCAGATGTGTTTGTTTTTGCAAAATTCTCGGGTCTATGTGCTCAGGTCCTGAAAAGTCCAGTGACAAATTTTACCTAAAATTTAGGTGGCAAACGAATCTTACTATAACCACTTGGAACCATTGTGGGGCTGGTCCATCTTATGGGACCCATCTTCAGTTCAGAGGGATGGAGGCAGAGGGAATACAGCAGGTAAGCTTAAGCAGTGATATGACAGGGCTTTCAGAATTGGGGCCAAGAAGGGCTTGCTTTATTTTCATGCTATTTAAAAATAGGTTTTTGCAACTGATTTACCCTATTAAATACTTCCATGCATAACTCAGTGGAGATTTATTTGCAATAGTAGGATCAGGTAATTTGAAAACATCAATATGTGTGGTTGTAGCAGGAGGAGGACTGGGTTCCAGCATTTAATAAGAGCATCCATGGCTTTATGAAAATGTCTGAAGATGTAATTTTCATTAAAGTTATACTTCACCTTTAGTTGTACAGTTCTTTCTTTCAGTTTCAATAAAATCTAAAACAGGAAATGTCAATATACATGCTCAGGTAAGGAAAGAATGAGTCTGTGCAGAGAGTAGGATCCAATCCTCTTCAGGTAGTAATGAAGAAAGAAGGCTCATCACTTCAATGAGCACTGTGAGCCCTTGAATGGGCTTATAGGTACATACTTATAGTTAAAATATGTATCTCCCATTTTAGTATTGGATAAAATACTGTCACATATTTCTCATTAAATCTACAGTTCTACTATCTTTCCTGATTAATTTTGCCAGCAAAAGTTCCTTAACTTTCTATAAAAGTCCAAGATTTACATTTATTTTGCAGTAGCAAATTTTGTCTTCTAGGAAAAATTAGAAGCCCAGGATGATAAAACTTTCTTTGAAAGAGACTTTACCATTAATTTTTGGAGGCAGCTGTGTGTGGGGTCACTTGTAATCCTAGATTGCATTAGCTTAATCGGGATTGAGATGATTTCAAATTGACTTGTGAAGACTGGGATATTTCTGGAACATTTTTATTCTTTGAGTACAACAACTTTTTACCTATCCAAAATTCTGTGGTGTTTACTATGTTCTCTACCACTTGACGGGCTTTAAACTCTAAATTTTTCCTCCCTCAGTTTCATGATTCTAACTCAAATGTCTGGTCAGCTACTCAGCCATCTCTTCCAAATTGTCAGATTCCCCATAAAAGTCAAACTGATATGGGTTGGGTCTGGGTCCCCATGCAAATTTCATCTTGAATTTTAATCCCCATAATCTCCAAGTGTCAAGGAAGGAACTTGATCGGAGGTGAGTGGATCATGGGGAAGGTGATTGGATCCCCCATGCTGTTCTCGTGACAGTGAGTTCTCATAAGATCTGATGGGTTTATAAGGGGCTATTCCTATACACTCTTTTCTCTCCTGCCACCCTGACTAAGGACATATTTACTTCCCCTAATTTCATGATTATAAGTTTCCTGAGGCCTCCTAGCCATTTGGAACTGTGAGTAAACTAAACCTCTTTCCTTTATAAATTACTCAGTTTGGGTATTTCTTTGTAGCAGTGTGAAAACAGACTAATACAGAAAATTGGTACCACGAGTTTGGGACACTGCTAGAAAGATACTTGAAAATGTGGAAGCAACTTTGAGACTGGGTAACAGGAAGAGTTTGGAACAGTTTGTAGGGCTCAGAAGAAGACAGGAAGATGTGGGAAAGTGTGGAACTTCCTAGAGACTTGCTGAATGGTTTTGACCAAGATGCTGAGAATGATAAGAACAATGAAGTACAGGCTGAGGGGTTCTCAGATGGAGATGAGGAACTTATTTGACACTGGAGCAAAGTTCACTCTTGTTATACTTTAGCAAAGAGACTGGAGACATTTTACCCCTGACCTAGAGATCTGTAGAACTTTGAACTTGTATTAGTTCATTTTCATACTGTTATGAAGAAGTATCTGAGACTGGGTAACTTATAAAAAAAAAGAGGTTTAATGTACTCATAGTTCCACATGGCTATGGAGGCCTCACAATCATGGTGGAAGGCGAAGGAGGAGCAAAGCATGCCTTACATGGTGGCAAGCAACAGAGTGTGTGCAGGGGAACTGCCCTTTATGAAACCATCAGATCTCATGCAACTTATTCACTGTCATGAGAATAGCACAGGAAAATCCTGCCCCATGATTCAATGACCTCCCACTGGGTCCCTCCCAGGACACATGGGGATTATGGGAGCTACAATTCAAGATGAGATTTGCATGGGGACACCCATTCCAAATGGGATAAATTGGCCAAAATGAAGAGGCTACAGGCCCCATGCAAGTCCAAAATCCAGAGGGGTAGTTAAAAGTTAAAGCTCCAAAATGAGCTTTGACTCCATGTCTAACATCCAGGTCACACTGATGCCAGATGTGGGTTCCCATGATCTTGGGCAGCTGTGCCCCTGTGGGTTTGTGGGGTACAGTGCTCCTCCTGGCTGCTTTCACAGACTGGCATGGAGTGTCTGCCACTTTTCTAGGAGCATGGTGTAAGCTGTTGATAGATTTACCATTCTAGCATCTGGAAGATGGTGGCTCTCTTCTCACTGTTACACTAGGCAGTGTCTCAGGGGGGACTTTCTATGGGGGCTGCCACCCTGCATTTCCCTTCTGTACTGCCCTAGCAGAGGTTCTCCATGAGGGCTCCATCCCTGCAGCAAACATCTCTCTGGACATCGAGGAATTCCATACATCCTGTGAAATCTAGGTGGAGGTCTCCAAACCTCAATTCTTCACTTCTGTGCACCTGCAAGCCCAATAGCATGTGTAAGCCACCAAGGTTTGGAGCTTGCACCATCTGAATCTACAGTCTGAGCTATAACTTGACCCCTTTTAGCCACAGCTGGGACACAGGGCACCAAGCCCCAAGACTGCACAAAGTGGGAAGGCCTGGGATTCAGGCCATGAAACCATTTTTTCCTTCTAGGCCTCTGGGCCTGTGATGGGAGGCTGTGCCATGAAGACTTCTGACATGCTCTGGATACATTTTCCCCATTGTCTTGTTGATTAACATTTGCCTCCTTATTACTTATGCAAATTCCTTTGGCTGGCTTGAATTTATCTTCTGAAAATGAGGTTTTATTTTCTTTTTCTTTTTCTTTTTTTTTTTTTTTTGAGACAGAGTTTCACTCTTGTTACCCAGGCTGGAGTGCAATGGCGCGATCTCGGCTCACCGCAACCTCCGCCTCCTGGGTTCAGGCAATTCTCCTGCCTCAGCCTCCTGAGTAGCTGGGATTACAGGCACGCACCACCATGCTCAGCTATTTTTTTTATCAGACCACCAGCCTGTAAATTTTCTGAACTTTTATTCTCTGCTTCCCTTTTGAACCTAAGTTCCAATTCCAAACCGTATCTCTGTGAATGACTAAAACTGAATGCTTTTAAGAGTATCCAAGCCACATCTTGAATGCTTTGCTGCTAAGAAATTTCTTCCACCAGATACCCTAAATCATCTCTTTCAAGTTCAAAGTTCCACATATCTCTAGGGCAGGGCCAAAATGAGACCAGTCTCTGCTATAGCATGGCAAGAATGACCTTTGCCCCAGTGTCCAATAAGTTCCTCATCTCCATCTGAGACCACCTTAGCCTGAAATTCACTGTTCATTTCACTATTGGCATTTTGGGCAAAGCCATTCAACAAGTCTCTATGAAGTTCCAAACTTTCCCACAATTTCCTATCTTTTTCTGAGCCCTCTAACCTTTTCTAACCTCTGCCTGTTACCCAGTTCCAAAGTTGCTTCCATGTTTTTGGGTATGTTTATAGCAGCACCCCACTCTATGATGCCAATTTAATGCATTAGTCAATTTTCATACTGCTATGAAGAAATACCAAAGAATGGGTAATTTATAAAGAAAAAGGTTTTAATGGACTCAGAGTTCCATATAGTAGGGGAGGCCTCATAATCATGGTAGAAAATGAAGGAGATGCAAAGGCACAGCTTACATGGCAGCAGGCAAGAGGGAGCATGTGCAGGGGAACTTCCCTTTATAAAAGTATCAGATCTCGTGAGACTTATTCACAATCCTAAGAACAGCATGGGAAAACCCTGCCCCCCATGATTCAATTACTTCCCACTTGGTCTCTCCCAGGACATATGGCGATTATGGGAGCTACAGTTCAAGATGAGATTTGGGTGAGGATACAATCAAACTACATCAGAACTTGAGAGAGATGATCTGAAATTGTAACTTGTGTTTAAAGGGAAGAATGTAAAAGTCTGGAAAATGTGCAGCCTGACCCTACGGTAGAAAAGAAACACCCATTTTCAGGGAAGAAACTCAAACTGGCTACAGAAATGTTCATAAGTAACAGGGAGCCAAATTGCCAAGACAATGGGGAAAATATCTCCAGGGCATGTCAGAGACCTTAGTGGCAGCCTCTTCCATTGCAAGACTTGTTATAAGATTGGGTGGAAAAGACAAATTGTATGTAGAGATCATTGTCAGAAATTACTAAACTCTGTCATCAAAAACTGTGTTGGAATTGATTTTAAAATTTCTCAATAAAAGAAGATGGAACACTACTTTGGTTTAGTTTTTGAAGTGGTGCATTCTCCGAAGATTCTATATTTAACACTCAGTCCTGGGAAGCCAGTAGTATTTATAATAAATTTCATAATGCTCATGCAAATACGAATCAGATACTGGCCCACAGTTAATGCAAGTAAGAGGATGGAAATCCCTTGGCATCCCCCAGGAAGTTTTCTTGGGAAAAAGTAAAAACTGAATATTATTAAACCTCTAGCTTTAACTACCAGTTTACAAGAAATGCTGGGTCTACAGCTACACATCAAATAGACATCACATGAATAAATGGTAAAGTGAAGAATGTAGAACACTTCATAGAGAAAATATGACTTTCTTCAACAAGCAAATATTAGAAAAAATAAAAGGGGGAATATACACATTAAATTGTGACTTTGGAGACTCACACAACAAAATATGTAGACTTTTTTGATTCTGACGAGCAATTCATATGTAAAACAAAAATAAACAAATATAGAAGTTAGGGAAAGATAACCACTGAAGTTTTGTAAGCATGTTGACAGGACTGTAGTTTTATTTTATAAAAAGTACTATTTTTTGACTGTAGTAGTAATTACTCAACAGTATGTCTGTGTCAGAATTCATTGACCTGTACATCAAAGAGTGAAATTTCCTGCACATAAATACTAGATCAATATAACTAGACTTAAAAATAAATGGCCACTATAGACAGACACAAGAGAACACCCTGCAGGACAAAGTCTGCGGCCATGAAGGACAATGGTTAAGGACATTCCAACTCCAAAGAGAAGTAATCAGGACTTGCAGTATGAGCTAACCAAAAATTGTACTCCCCTGCCAGAGCCGGACATCCTGTAAATTCCTGCACAACAGAATTTGGTCATTGCTATAGGATTGTGGCTGCTACATTTCCCATTTCTTCTTTTTATGAATAAAATTTATTGGATTATGTCCATACTCCACTATAGTATATTGGGTATGTGGATGGAGCAGGGGGTATGGAGTTAAGTCTCTGCACCATAGGGAGCCTCATTCAGGATGTGCTGAAGAGCAATACACATTGACAAGAAAATCTGGATCATCTTGGGAAGTGGGTAAGTACACTTCATATGTGGAAAGGAGCGGACATACATACATACATGTACTAGAGGGGTGAGACGGGTGGTGAGTAACTCCTGATTACTTCTCTTAGGAGACTATGAGTTTGCCCAATGTCCATTTTCCCCTTATTCCAGTTATAGAATTTAGGCTAGACATCTGGTCGTATGGAATAAACATTACATTCCACGGCCTCCTTTCCAGTGAACTGAGCTGTGAACGCTGGGTGTGAACAGCCATGCTATATGTAGTTTTCAGATGCTGTTTTTAATAAGAGAGGTGCTTTCTCCTTCTTCCTAATTACTCCCGGCTGTAGTGCAGGCATGCTGGCTAGTTTAGCAGCCATTTTGGCCATGTTGCATGTTGAGGTCTATAGTATAGCCTCATTGAAGAAATAATATCTCACAGGTTGGAACTCCCATGACCACAAAGGACAGTGCATTTGGACTATTATATGAGAAATAAACTTCTCTCTTGCTTAAGTTCCTGATTTGTTTTTTCCGAAATTTAGTATTCTTTTGAATAAAGATTAGCATTTCTGAATGAACAATTTCTGTAGGTCAGATTTAAGGTTTTGCACCACTGAGACTACCACATATTTGGAAAGTCCAACAATTTGCAATTTGTCAAGGAAAGTATATCAGTCAGGGTTGAGTGCAAGTTAAAGAGATTTAATACGAAGATCAAGTGTTGGAAATCTTTAGGATGATAACAGCAGTGAGAATCAGGAGGCCAACAATGGAATTATTAAGTTCACAAACACATCTCTCTTATCTGCAATCCAGAAATCAGGAAACTGAATTAGGAAATCATTACCATCAGAAACACCTTTCCACTTTATCAAAGTCAATGACTAGACACTGCAACACTGCTTCTGGTTGTTGCTACTGCTGAAACTACTTGTGGATATCCATGATACTGGTGACTAGACACTGACACTGTAGTCAGCAGCATTACTATCTCTAGACATTCACTTTTCTATGACTCAGCTTGCCAGAGTGGAAGAAGGATGATCCCTCATTTTACTTTTATCTTACAAATAGTATCTATTTGGAGGAATCTCATTTGTATTCAGAATCTTAGTTACAAATCAGTCCTAAAATATATAGCTTCTATCTTTCTAGACTTCTGAAAATAGGAGGATGGGGATAAAGACTAAGCAAGCTACTTTTCATATCTACTAGAAAAGTGTGAGCGATTCCTCGATTAGAGCAAAGAACTGATGTGCACATGAATGTTCATTGCAGCACTGTTTACAATAGCAAAGACCTGGAACCAACCCAAATGCCCAACGATGATAGACTGGATAGGGAAAAACTGTAATTTTCTACTGCCATTTGCAATGTAGGTTGAGTCACAGGCAGCGTGGAAGGAAATAAATTATGTTTACTGAGTAATTTTGAGTTGTAGAGGAACTATACATATTTTTTTTCCTTTTTTAACAGTGTATTTACCACTATCTAGTTAGGCAGAGAACAAGAACTACCTTGTCAGTAATGAAGGTATACCATCATAGGCATTTAGAATGACAAATAACAAATTATTTTTAAGTGTAAAAGTGAGCTAAACATTTGAAGTGAGGCATTTGTTTAAAAATTTTAAAAAGCCAAGATAAAATCAGTATTTGAGCTCTAGTACATGTTTTGCACATCCACATAATTATCTAACAGTTTTCTAATCAGGAAATTGAATAAAAGAAAACAGCCCCCAATACTCTCAATTATTGGCATCATATATATATATATATATATAAACTTCTATTTAGGTTCAAGAGTCCATGTGCAATTTTGTTATAAAGGTAAATTGCATGTCACCAGGGTTTGGTGTTCAGATTATTTCATCACCCAGGTAATAAGAGTGCCCCACAGGTAGTTTTTAATTCTTCAGCCTCCTTCCATCCTCCACCCTCAGGTAGGTCCTATATCTGTTGTTCTATTCATGTCCATGTGTACTCAATATTTAGCTTCCACATGAGAGAACATGAAATACTTGGCTTTCTGTTCCTGTATTAGTTCACTTAGGATAATGGTATCGGTATCATGCTGTTTTGATTATTGTAGCCTTGTAGCATAGTTTGAAGTCAGGTAGTGTGATGATTCCCGCTTTGTTCTTTTTGCTTAGAATTGACTTGGTTATGCAGGCTCTCCTTGGTTTCCATATGAAGTTTAAGGTGCTTTTTTCCAGTTCTGTGAAGAAGGTCATTGGTAGCCTGATGGGGATAGTGTTGAATCTGTAAATCACTTTGGGCACTATGGTCATTTTCACGATACTGATGTTTCCTAACTAGGAGCATGGAATGTTTCTCCATCTGTTTGTGTCCTCTCTTATTTTGTTGAGCAGTGGTTTGTAGTTCTCCTAGAAGAGTTCCTTTACATCCTTTGTTAGTTGTGTTCCTAGGTATTTTATTCTCTTTGTAGCAATTGTGAATGGAACTTCGCTCTTGATTTGGCTCTTTGTTTGTCTGTTATTGGTATATACGAATGCTTGTGATTTCTGCACATTGATTTTGCATCCTGAGTTTGCTGAAGTTGCTTATCAGTTTGAGATTTTGGGCTGAGATGATGGCGTCTTCTAGATATACAATCATGTCATCTGTAAATAGAGACAGTTTGGCTTCCTCCTTTCCTAATTGAATACCCTTTACTTATTTTTCTTGCTTCATTGCTCTGGCTAGTGTGGTATGCTATGGTGTATATGTGTCACATTTTCTTTATCCCGTCTACCACTGATGGGCATTTGGTTTGATTCCATGTCTTTGCTATTGTGAATAGTGCTGCAATGAACATACATGTCTATGTGTCTTTAAGGTAGAACACTTTATATGCCTTTGGTTATATACTCAGGAATGAGACTGCTGAGCTGAATGGTAGCTGTTTTAAGTTCCTTGAGAAATCACAAAACTGCTTTCCACAATAGCTGAACTAATTTACATTCCCATCAGCAGTGTGTAAGCATTCCTTTCTCTGCAACTGTGCTAGCATCTGTTATTTTTTGACATGTTAGTAACAGCCATTCTGATTAGTGTGATGACATTTTGTCAGTTTGCATTTCTCTAATGACTAATGATAGTATTTTTTCATATGCTTGTTGGCCACATGTATCTCCTCTTTTGAAAAGTATCTGTTCATGTCCTTTATCCACTTTTTAATGGGGTTGCTTGTTTTTTGCTTGTTAATCTATTTAAGTTCCTAATGGATTCTGAATATTATATCTTTACTGGATGCTTAGTTTGCAAATGTTTTCTCTCATTCTGTAAGTTGTGTGTTTACCCTGTTGATAGTTTCTTTTGCTCTGCAGTAGCTTTAATTCGCTATCATTTGCCAATTTTTAGTTTTGTTGAAATTGCTTTAGGTGTTTTTGTCATGAAATCTTTGCCAAAAATTATTGGCATATTTTCTTGAAGACAGCATCATTTTTCTAACATTCCATGGGTTCAATCTGATGATCTTGAAGTGATAATTCTTGTTTACTTTTCTCTTCATTGTAAGTCTCAAGTTTCCCATCATTTAATAAATTATACAAGCTCTCATTTGTCTCTTTAATATCACAAAGAATGGAATCCATAGAATAACCAAATTCAATAAGGGCAAACACATTATCTCCATCTTTATAAAAATGCCCAATGGTATGCATAGCAACTAATTTTCCAGATGCATTGAACACTGGGGAGCCTGAGGATCCATCAGAGAAACAAGTATCATAACTAAGCGTTTGTGTGTTCCAAACCTCTGATAGGAAACTTCTTTGGGTAAACATAGGGTATACATTACTATTAGTACCATGGGGATCTACCAACCCTTCTTGACAATGATTTGGATATTTTTCCAATCGTTCATTTATAGGAATCACAGCACAACCATCTATTTTCTTGATCTGGCCTTTGGGATGACCAATTAAATAAATCAAACCAGTAGATGGTTGAGGAGAAATTTGTCTCCATAGGCCGGGAGGAAATGCATTTCCATTTTCATTTAGTTTTAAAATGGCATAATCTAGAGTTTCATTGGACACTTTAAGCCATGGCTCAATAAAAAACCAGTTGTTACCAGTAGGGCTGAACTCTTTGTAAGTGAAGGTTACCTTTGCATATTGGCTAATTATGTGTGGCCATAAACTTTGATCTGTGTTTTTACCCACCATAAGTTCTACAACATGTCGACAGGTGAAAATATAACCACCATTGAAGACAAAGCAAGTAGCATTGCCTGTGTTTCCATTATTGTCCCATTCCAGGAACCCAACTGACTTGCTAAGATAAGTAAGTTGTTCACAGGTTGCAACTGAAATAGCGTTTGCAGTAATTTTTCCAAAGAACTTTTTATATATGCTGAATTGCTTAAATGGTGAAAGATTCATTCTCTTCTGTTCTTCCTGAAAATATCTTCGCACCCACTGTGCCTCCTCTTTAAAATGTGGATGCTGAGATATTATGGTTTCATTCAACATTTGCAAATTCTTTAAGAGGTTAATTGCCTCCTTTTGGACATCCAGATTAATAGCATACTGCCTAGATTTAATATCATGCCCTAGATTCTGAGGTGAGAGAATTTTCTCTCTGCTGTGTTCTACATCTTCAGTCTCTCCATCTTTCTCTTGTTTGTGGACCAGACTTTGGTGATTAATTTCATCAGTGGCATTTTCATTCTGTTTAGTTTTTTTATAGATGTCTTTCTTTTGTAATGTTTCTTTTTTTGAAATGTCCATTTCTAAGACTTTTCCAGATATTTCATCAACAATGGACTGTTTTCCATAAATTTTCTTATGACCTTCCATTAGTGTCCATTTAAATTCATCTATGTCAGACCGAAATCGGCCATCCTTGCATAAGGCTTCTTGAATAGTCTCACCCTTCAAGGCATAAATACAAAGTTTACATCCTTTTTCATGAAGTTTCTTGATCTTAACAATCTTCTTTATTGTCCTTCCAATAGCAATAACATAAAAAAGAATGCATTCCATGTCTGGATTTTCAAATTGACGTAATATGTGTCCATCTTCTTCACTACTCTTTGTTTTATCAATTGTAATTTTAAAATGAGAACCAATAGGCAGACACTTGAGAGGCATTCCTAAATTTATATATCCTTCTATTGTTTTTTCTTCATAAACAATAATGTTCTTATTACAATGATTCTTCATCCTTTCACTGAAATGCTCATTAGCACTCAGAGCTGAGTCGATACTCTCACTGGGTTTACCATATGCTGTAAACACACTGTGGTTTAATTTTCCAGAGTTTTCATTCAAAGTGAAGGTGAAACAACATTCTCTATTGTTCAGATTTGGATTCCGAATTTCCAGGGCTGATTCATGCTTGTTGACTTCACTTTTAAGCTTAAAGGTGCTGCTACACTGTCTTATGCCAGATAGACAATGATCAACAGGTGTGTCAGCACATGTCTGCTTTATCACAGTATCCTTAAAAAGAAAAGATTAAAGAGGTTAAAAAGAATCACCTTTAATAATGTTTCATATTTTTTCTAATGATAGAACTAATAGATATTATGAAGAATTGGATAGTATAATGGTTAACAAATAATGGAGAAAAAAATCAATCACTATTCTATTACCAGAGATACTCATTCTACATTTTATTTTTATTTTTTTCCCCTGTATAACTTGATTTTGTTTTTTGATTTTTAAGAATAGAACTCTGATTTTCCACAATGGTTCTAAGACCATTTAATGGGGGGAAGTAATCATCTTTGTAACAAATGGTGCTAGAATAACTGGATATCCAGAGGCAAAGAAATGAGTTGGACTCCTACTTTATACCTAACTCGAAATGGATCAGAAATGGCCCTATATTGGTTCATATGCAGATCTAAATCTTATGCTTCTTAAATACCATGTTGTGTATGAGTTTATTTTTCATTAAGCAATCTGTCACTACTTTGTGTCATTAAGCAACCTTGAAAACCACAAATTGAGGGGCTATAGAATATTTCACTGCATAATAATTCATAATCCATTCTTTCAGTGCTGAATATTTAGATCATTTCTAGGTTTTAATCTAACTATGAAGAAACTTTCTACAAATATGACTTTTTTTTTGTCTGCACATCTGAATATTTCCATAGGTCATATTCCCAGCGGTGGAAATATTGCAACTAAGGATATAAAAATATTTTGCAACATATATTCTGCCTCCCAGAGAATTGTATCAACTCTGTCCCTTCTCTCCAGCTGCTCAAGGAGACCAACCTCAATCCTGTGATTGATTCCTTAAAATTATTTGAGTGTTTCCATTTTAAATGTTTATCAATTGATAGATGAAATTCTATCTAATTTGAATGTTTTTAGAATGCACATTTATTCACTTACTAGTAGAGTTGGACTTAATTTATCTTTTGGATATTTGAAGCATCACCTTTCAAAAATTCCTATTAAAAATCTGTTTAGTTGCTGTTCTGTCAATGGTTTTGATAGTACTAAGAAAATATATTTTGGTGAAAAACATTATATGTAAAAAATATTATATGACAAGAGTCACATAACTTAGAAGGAAATCATTGTGAAGCCTGAAGTACTGGATCTAGTCTATATGAATAGAAGAATAAGCCTGGAGAGTAAAATCAGAAGGGACAGCTGGGCTTGGATCATTTAGTAGGTAGGTGCAAGGGAATAAGACTAGCTTTTAGGAACAGTGATTTTCCTTTTGCCTTGGTGCTCTCCTATCACCTCATGTTTTCAAATATTTATTGTCCAAATCTATCTCTGTAACACTGACCTCTAATCTGAGCTCCAGATATTAATATTTCATTGCCTCTTTGACATCTACTCTTGGATACATCAGAGGCATTTCACTGTTAATCCCTTCAAAACCAGAGTTACAAATTTAATTGTGTCCCTCTTCCTGTGTTCCTGAATCTGATAATGGTGTCATTACCCATTTGAGGACCCAAGCTAGTATCCTGTGAATAGTCCTCAGCTTTTACTATATATGTATATGCCCCTAAATAAGTGTAAGACAATGATAGTTTTAAAACAAATTCAGGTTTAGTGGTTATCCATGAGAATGAGAAAGGGAGATAAGATGAAGGAGAGACACACTATGCCTCTAATGATTTGTAGTGTGTTACTTTTTAAGTTGGGAAGGAGATACGTGGCTGTTTATTATATGAAATATAAGGTGTCACCAACTGCTTTTGCATATATAATATGTTTTATAGTTTCTTAAAAACACAGCATACAAGAGATAAAGGGTATACCTTGTTTCATTTTATATACATTGTTTGATTTTATATAAACACATCCAGCTGAATGTGTTCTGTGATTTGCACCACTTTTTTTGAGGTTCATCCTAGTTGATAAAGTTCTGTATCAATTTTTACATTTAGAGAGAATTCACTGAAGAAATCATCTGTTTATGCACATTTCTGTTATTTCTGGGGTTCTTCTACCAAAAGCAGTGGCAAGTTTTGCTATGATATTCTCCAATATGTTTCCTGGTGCATGCGTTCAAGGGTCTCTCTCAAGAATACACTTAGAAATAGAACTGCTCAACTTCAGAAATAGATTTGAGCCGTAAGTATTTGAAAATATGAGGCAATAGGAGAGCAAGAAGAGAAACTGTGTAATCCCCTTTACTATAATATATATTGCCATATTATTTTACAAAATGGTTTAATATATATTGCCATATTATTTTACAGTGTTGTTCCACCTTGCATTCCCACCAGTGAGAAATAAGAGCTCTCATTATTTTACGTCTTCATCAAAGCTTGGTAATATCCATATTTTAATGCTTCCCAGTGTTGTTGGTGTGAATATCATCTTACTGAGGGTTTAAACAGTTTCCTAATTACTAAAGGGATTGAATACTTTTTCACGCTTCAGTCTCTACAGTGCTTGTTTATGTCTTTTGTTCATTCTTTTACTGGATTATTTTCTTTTTATTATTGATTCTAGAAGTACTTTAAATATTGTAGACACAAATTGCTTATTCATCATTTGTGTTAGACATATTCTGAGTTTCTTCTTGATTTTTCAATCTCAGGTGTCATAAAAAATAGGAGTTGTTAATTTTAATGTTGTCAAATTTATTAATCTTTTTATGTCATTAGAACAACTTCCATAAGATATATTCTTTTTTTTCTAAAAACTGTAAAGGTTTGCTTTTACCATTCAAGTTTTTAATCTGGAATTATTTTTTGTATATAACTTGAAGTAAGTATCACTTTTTATTTTTGCATGTGGATAACTAATTATTACAGCAATACTGACTGCATTGTTCATTCTTTCTCTACTGATCTGTACCGCCAGTTTTGTCACATAAGACTGTTATGGGTTGAACTGTGTCCCCTCAAAATTCACATGTTATAATCCTAACCCCTACTACCTCAAAATGTGACCTTATTTGGCTACTACAGTTCTTGTTAATATACTGAGTTAAGGTGAGGTCACCCTGCAGTGATGGGACCCTAATCCAATACCCCTAATTTCCTTAAAAAGGGGGAAATTTAGACATAGAGACAGAGACAAGAAGGAAGATGATGTAAAGGGCCATAGGAAAAACGTGGCCAACTACAAGCCAATGAGAGAGTCCTGGAACAGACCTTTCCCTCGCAGCCCTAACAGGTCATCAACTCTGCTGACATCTTGACCTTGGACTTTGAACCTCCAGAACCATGAGACAATGCATTTTTGTTCTCTAAGCCATACAGTCTGTGGTACTTTATTACTCATAAGAGACTGTCTAGTCTGGATTTTATAACAAAATACATGATGTAGAGCCCTCATGATCTAATCACCCACCAAAGCCCCATCTCATAATGCCATCATCACGGAGATTAGGATTTAAACATGTGAATTGTGGAGGATGCAAAGATTCATGTCATAGCACAAACTAATACAAAGATATTTTCATATAATTTGTGAGTCTGTCTCTCTCTGCTCTGTTCGAATGGTATATTTTTCCATATATTTGCCAAACGCTGTTTTAATTTTGAGTTTTCCTACTCATTAGTATATCTTGACATTGATTTATGTTTCCTTTTCATGTCTTCAACAAAATAATTTTCTCCATAAATGGCTAACAATTCATTTTTACATTTATTCCTAGGTAAAGATTTCTTTAGATATTACAAAATAATTTTGGGGTACCACATTTTCTAATATTGCTTACTAAGCTAAATCCATCATTTTGTAAATATCAATGTTAAATCTAGCCAATTTGCTACATTATGATCATTCTAATATTTTATCTATAAATCTTTTAGATTTCAAAAATAGATAATGATATCAACTGTGGATATTTCATGAATATACTTTGTTTTCTTCTTTTCAATCATCAAATATTATCTTTTACTATTTTTTCTTATCGCATTGCATTGGCTAAAATAAATTTTATTTACCAGCTAAATAAAGGCAACAATAGTGAGCACTTCTCTATTCTCCTTAAATGTAAAGGAAATACTTATAATGATTCACTATTTAACATGATGTTCCCTGTGAGATTTTTGAAGATGCCGTTAATCTAGCTAAGAAGCCTTCTGGTATATTTATATTTATATATTTGATATTAATAGGGGCAGCCAAGGTAAAGTAAGCCCATTATAGCCCATAATTTCCACTAATTAAAATTAAAGCCTCTTGAAAATTTAAAAAGCAGCATCCTGAGGTTCTACTCTGGCCACCATGAAATAACATAGAACTAATTTACACTCCTGCCTGAAAGATCTGGTGAAATAGACAAAATAAACAAAATGGTTTCCAAGACATTGACCATTAGTCAAGGAAGGACAGTGATCCTTAAGAAACAGAAAAAAAAAAAAGATGCAAACTCTATGACTGCCCCAGCTTACCGCCTGAAGAGAAGCTCTAGGCCACTGCACAGGGAAAAGAATCCAGGCAAAGCTGAGTAGCAAATGAATTGAGGAAAAGGAACTAAGTTCTGGGAAGCCAATGGGCTTAGCTTTTGAAGAGCAGGAGAGGGTCCCCATGAGTCTTCAGATGAGTAGTGATCAGCATATGCATATGAGGAAATCACCTAAGTCAGAAAAACCATCCTTCCAAAAACATTAGAAGGAACAATCCCTGGAGCTCTTACAGGGCTGGGAATAGTTGTTGTTCCCACCAGACATAGGGAAAAAAATCATAATTCATGGGGCATTGAGTATAATACTGAAAAGAATATTGCCTCAGCAATAGGGAAAAATATCTCCATAATATACAGAAAAAACATTACAAGAAAAGAAGATTACATGCCAATATAACCATAAATGCAAGAACTAATAGGTAAATGCCAGGAATTCAAGGTTAGTTTAACTTTTGAAAACTATGTCACCGTAATAAGCCATTTAGAATAATTAAAATTTCTCTATATACATAGAATCATCTCAATAGACACATAAACAGCATTTGGTAAACCTAAGATCTATTTCTAATAAGAATACCTGCAACCTATGAATAAAAGG